GTAAAACAGTAATGGTCGGGTGATTGTGGTCGTATAATAGCAATTGATGACAATGATGACAATTGATATGAAAAAAGATAGATCTTTGCATATTCAATCACATTTACATGGATAATCATGCTGGTTTATACTTAAATTATGCTATAAAAATAATAAACTTTATTAGAATCAGCAACCATTTTGAACGTGACTCAAATTTAGCTGACAATGAAAATAAAATTAAAGTAATGGATTCACAATTTAGAGGTCTCGCTCTAGCTCTTGAAGCTCATTTCAACCCTAATCTTATTTATGCAATCTAAATGCCAAACAAATGGCCACTTAAGAGAGTTTCCAGGCTCTTTCACCTCACCAACCCAACACCAAAATGTCACCTTGCTAGCAGATGAAGCGTCCAAGAAAGTTCACCTTGCTCACATGCGAATCGCCGTTCATCTCACACCAAGATTCGTGTTGACGAAATGATGGATAGTCATCAGTGATTCCCAGTCCGGAAATTCTCTTAAGATTTGATGTATTGAAATTACTAAGAAAGATCCGTTATCCTGGCCTGCCTTCCATGGTTAAAAATAGTACAAATTTCATGATGAAACATTTTAAACATTTTCTCCTCCAAAACACTCTTCATCTACTTTCCTATATATAGTTTCATGCATAAGCCTCCTCTTGTGCTAATAAGTTAGGTCCAATGTCCACAACAATCACGCTTCTGCTCATTCTGCTTTTCGGCACCGGCTTCGCCGCATTTGCATTTCCCGCCCCGCCGTCGCCAGCATCCCCAGGCAACTCTACATTGGAATACATTGACCCCACCCTCCCCCCTCTCCACATAACCCACAACCCCAAATGCTCCATCACCATTCTACAACATGTCATCGCCGACACCACCGGCGCTCCGCCAGTCTCCGTCCCATACTACCCGCCGGCGGACTGCCCGGCCCCCTGGTCTCGTGTCATCCTCGAACTCTCCGGCTCTGCTTCTGATATTCAAAAGGACCGCATTGCCGCCATCTGGCTCTCCGGTGCAGAACTCCTCCGCACCTCCACTCCCTTCGCCCTATCCTCCGGCGTTTTCTGGCGCGTACAGAAGGATGTTACTCACTACACCTCGCTGCTGCGTAGCCCCTCTCCCGAAGACAACTCTACCGACGCAGAAGCCGCAGCAGCCGCCCCCGCCACCTTCTCCATGATGTTGGAGAACTCCAACGCAACTTATCCTGGCGTCTACACCGTCAACGTCTCCCTCCACTTCTACCGCGGCGCAGTTGCACAAATAAACTCTCATCCCATAATCAAGGGTCTTTATCGTGAACCCGCCGACCTCATCCTTCCTATCTCCAACGATGTTGGAGAATGTGGGCCAGGGTACTGGTTCAAACTCCATAACAGCTCCCAGATCCTGTTAACATCTCTTTCCATTCCCAACAATACGTACCGAGCCGTGCTTGAGCTCTACGTCTCACACCACGATGAGGACGAGTATTGGTATGCTAATCCCCTGCGCTCCACCGGAGAAACCAAAATCATGTCTTTGTCTTCTTCTTCTTCTTCTTCTTCCTCTCTCTTTCACTCGAAAGCCAATGGAGCATTCAGACAAGTAGAACTGACTATCGACAAGCTCTACGCCGGTGGGGTGGTGCCATTCCCAGTGATTTATCCCGGCTCCATTAACCCATTTTTCTGGGCTCCAGTCGCTGGGATCGCCGCATATGACTTACCTTCATACGACCTCGATCTGACCCCTTTCGTTGGACTCCTTGTTGATGGCCGGGAACATGATTTCAGCCTAATCATCCGCGATAGCCAGCCATTTTGGCTTGTCTCAGGTAACCTCCATCTCTGGCTCGACGCTTGGTCGGACAGAGTGGAAGGCGCTCTAGTGCGGCATAGAGTGCCTCCACTGCGGCTCAGCCGGCAAGCCGACTGGCGGGGGAAGGACGGCAAGTCTTCCATTGATGGGCAACTCATAGTACGATTCTCTGGCTGGGTGAGTTCATCGAAGGGGAATGTTTCAACAAGCATACGACAGAGGCTAAAGTTCAAAAGTAGGGTAGAGATGCAGGGGAAAGGAGTGGTAAAGCAAGCGGCAATGGAGGTGAAGTCGAGGACAGACGTTAGGGCAAGCTTGAACAGGGCAGTGGTGGGGAGAGCGAGCGTGAGCATCGAGGCACCGTTGCTGGTGACGATAGAGAGGGCAAATGGAGGCGGAGGGACAGTGTTGGAGAGGACGAAGATTTTCCATGGAATGACAGAGGGGAGGAGTGTGGGAGGGAAGGGGGAGATGGAGTTTAGTGAGTTGGCGGATAGGCAGGATTCAGAAGGATCGGTGTTAGTTGGGGAAGACGGAATGGTTTGGGGGAGCGGAGATACGAGTTCGATGTATAAGTTTAGGGATGAGAAAGCTTGTTATTTAAGGACGGTGAAGGTTGTGGGAGGGAGAATGAAGGAGGATGTAGAGACAGCGTCCTGCGCCGGCGTGGCTGAGATGTAGTTTGCCGGAGATTATGTACGTATGGTGTGGTTGGGTAACTAGCTAGCTTGTTATGTGTGAGATTGTAACGTATATGGGTTGGTTTTCTTTTTTGAGAGAGATCTGTTAAGAGGCCAGGCTCGAAGTATTAAAGCACTTAAGTATAATAACTATTGGGATTAGTGAAATAACAATGTTTAGAGTAGACGCCAGCCGAGTTGGCTCAGATTCAAATTAAAGTTTTATTTGAAATCCAATTTTCACGTTTAATCAACCAAAATCATTTAATTTAAGACTATATATTTTCTATAATTTCAAATGAACAACATACACAGAAATTTTGGAAGATTATCTTTAAAGTTATTTTCAAATATTTCTTCGCATTAAATGAAAAAAAATGTAAACCCAAAAAATAGCATGATGATTTTGTTTTGCAAGAACATGATGTGATTCTTTAATTAGAAAATTAGTTTTTGATCTCATATATTTTTCACTTACAATCATTTTCTCATATATACCTCACTAGCTCTTGTCTTCCCTCGTTTGCATGGTTTGTTGTGAGGTACTTCGGATCTCGGACCGAACTGCGATGCCTTGGAGTGAGCGACAGGTGGTGCGGGTGTGTGCAACCACTTCAATAATATACTTCAATTAGTTAATTTTTCTTTAAGTCATTATAGCTGCCACTATTAGCAATTTAAAGTATTATTTATCAATTTCAAGTATTCGCTAGTATGATAGCGCAAGTATACATATCAAACAAGTAATATAGGGCTCTAATGAAGTCCTAAGTATTGATCCCATAGAGAAGTTTGGAAATCTTGTACTGTTAACTCAAATAAACTCTATCTAAACTGCATAAAACTTAACCAGAAATGAAGATCAAAATTTGTGTTTTTAAATTACATAAATTATATGTGCTACTCTTATCTCTAAACTTAAAGTAAATTCCAGTATCGCTAATATAAGTTTTATGAAGAAGAGTTCAAATTTTAGAAAGTATCATTCCACTTACAGTGAGATTATAATCAATGAATAATTCAATCTGTTATAAATTTAAATATCATATTGTGTCAAATAAGAGAATATTATTCTTTACATTCGTACAATTGCATAAAGAACTTTGGCTAATATAGAGTGAAGTTCCTAAATTCTTAGTTAGGCTGGGAAAATATTAGCTCTAACTCTAGAGTTCCCACTATCTCTATGCTTGATGGCTAACATCTAGCCTTAGGTTCCCAACTTTTCGAACAAATTGAATGTTCTAGCCTGTCACTCTAGAATCACCAATTTACGCCCATCAAAACTTATTTCTCTATTTCTTTGCACTTAACCACATGGACTGCATTCTCATGCAAGAGATCAAATGTAATTCTTACTTAGTTGAGGAAAGCATAGTTTTTTTGGATTATTATGTTTCGCAATAGATTTTAACTTAATAATTGGCCAGATTGATTAAGTAAATGAAGTTCAAAGTTTGAATCATCACAATTATGAATTTAAAGCACTTCTAAACAATTTTAATTCTTCACATGATTATTTCTCATTGCAGGGAGAAAGACAAAGTAAACTACTCAGATCTCATGAGGAAGATACAACAAAACATGAATTTATATATAAAAACAAGTTTACATAACAATAATAAGTAAAACAAGTAAAATTTCAAATTGCTCATATCTCAAACTCCTCCTTAAGGGAGAAAGACAAAGTAAACTACTCTGATCTCATGAGTACGATACAGCAAAACATAAATTTATATATAAAAATAAGTTTACAAAATAAGAATAAGTAAAATAAGTAAGACTTCAAACTGCTTATCTCAAACTCCTCCTTAAGAAAATCGTTTGAAGTTTCTTTGAATCACTTTCTCTCCTTATAATAACACTCAATTCCCTCTTAGAAATGTATTGAAGAAGAAATCTCTCACTTCTCATCTTCTCTTACAATTCTAAGAGATTGTCTCCTCTTTCACTCTTCTTCATATACTCGCCTTCTCGCTTACTTGCTTGTCACAACGACGTACCGACTTTGTATCTAAATCAGAGTTTACATAAATTTATATAAGAAATATAGTGCAGGGCTTTGAAACCCAGCCCACCAGAATGATTTGACAAACAAACTTTATGTCAGGCAACCCAAGGTTTACTATGATCCCATCCACACCAAAGAAATTTGTTGAAAATATGTTCTAAAAATTTTTGAGTACTTTTTTTAATTTTGAGAACCTGCATTACATAAGAAGGGATGCTATAGAGAACACTTTTAAGTAAGGTTAATCTACCACCATAGGAAAGGAAAGAGTTGTTATAGTCAGCAATTCTTAATTTAATCCTGTTGACCACTTCATCTAATTAGGTTTGTTTGCATCTAACTTTGAGTAAATTAACTCTGATATACTTAAGAGGTAGAGTGGTAGAATGATAACCAGTGTAGGAGAGAGCCCAAGTGACTAAGGATGTATGCACATCTTTCCCAAAGTAGATAAGACATTTAGATTTATTGAAATATAGACCAGTAGTATCTTGAAACACAGAGAGGGTGTGCATAAGGGCTTTGATAGAGGGTTTACTGGCATTGGAGAAAAATATAGCATCATTAGAATAGGCTAGATGATTGACCAAAATTTTTTATTTATTCTTAAACTGAAGGTGAGGGTGAGTCTCTTGCATCTGGTTAACAAACCGAGAGAAATAATCAAATGAAAGAATAAAATTGATAAGGGAGAGAGGATCGCCTTGTCTAATACCACATTGGGAGGAGGAGAAGCCATAAGATCTGCCATTCACAAGGAAACTATAATAATTTCTGACCAACCATCTACGAATTAAGTTACAGAATGGAACATTGAAACCTCTAGCTCTCAGCATATTAAGAATAAAGTCCCAACTGAAAGGCTTTTTTTATGTTTTGTTAAGGACCATGTTGCCATCCCTACATTTTTTATCCAACTCCTCCACTAATTCCTATGCCAAAAGAATATTATCCATAATTTTCATTCCTTTAATAAAAGTTGATTATTGTGCAGATATAATAGTACTGATATGTGGTTGAAGCCGAGAGGCAAGCAACTTGCTTCTAACTTTGGATATAACTGAATTGAGTGAAATAGGCCTAAACTTATCCCAACGGCTTTCATCATAAGTTTTAGAAATGAGAACAATCAAAGTAGAAGAGAAGTATTTAAGGAAGTCTTCCCAAAGGAAAAAAAACTTTTGATAGCAAGGCAAACCTCTTTTTTGACATAAGCCTAGCAATTAATATAAAACTTTGAAGTGAAACCATCAGGGTCAGCCACTTTGTTTGGATTTATATTTTTGAAGGCCTTAAGAATTTCCTCCATAAGTGGGATATTAGCAAGTGACAAGATAGCAACATTCTCAATTTTCCTCAACAAGAGGGCCTCATTAATTGAAGACACCTGCAAATTAGTGTCAAATAGACTAGTGAAAAAATTTTCAACACTTTTGCCAATCTCCTCTTCTCCACTGATAGTATCTCCATTCACATTTCTAATTTTCAAAATAGTATTTACAATTCTCCTATGCTTTGTAGAGGCATGACAATATTTAGTGTTGTGGTCACCACAGAAGAAAAGAATATCATGTGTTTTTTGTTGCAAAAAATTCTCCTCAACAGATATTGCCTCAAGAAGAGTAACAAGAGCTTTTGAAACTTCATCCAAAAATAGTACATTAACAATCAATTGAGATTCTAGATCATCAATAATTTTTTGAACCTCCTACACCTTGGTATGCAAATTACAAAAAACCTTCAACTTCCATTTTCTGAGATGAGCAACAACTTTTTTATGGAGTTGCCAAAATATATACCAAGGGGTGCCAGCTCCCTCAAAATTCCACACCCGTTTAATTAAAATAAGGAATTGATCCTAAAAATTCCACATGTTAAAAAACTTAATTTAGTAATGAGCAGGTTTATTGCTAGAAGCAAGAGTGAGTAGGATTGGATTATGATATGAGGAAGCATGACTCAAGTGTTGAACACGAGAGACTACAAAATAGATGATAAAAATATTATTAGCAAAAAAATCTATCAAGACGCTGAGAGAGCAAGCCTCTTCTCCAAGTGTAAGGTGAGCCAGAATAGCCCAAATCAAAAAGGCCTGCATCAGAGATTTTGTGACAAAATAAGCACCACCACCTCTGTGCTTAGTAGGGGTCATAATCATACTGAAATCTCCTCCCACGAACCAATTTTGATCGATTGACTCTCCCATAGTGGCCAACTGATCCCAAACTAAGAATTTATTCTTCAAAAGAGAGCTGACATATACAAAAGTAGCCCAACTTTGATAACCATCCAAAACGAAATTAGTAAGAACATTTTGGCTACCATCCATGATGATAGAAATATTAACACAACATTGTCAAAAAAAATCCATATTTTATTATTAGTGTTGCAAAAATGACTGTAGTGTTTGAAATGTCGTTGGACTTTATCTTTGTGAGTGAAGACAAGAGGCTCTAATATAGAAAAAATGAGAGGCTTGTGGACCCGACAAAGATGCCTTAATCTATTAAGGGAGAGAGGGTCAGCCACTCCCCTAATATTTCAGACTGAAATCTTAAACATGGTGCCACGAGCTAGCCCTCCTAGCAGGTATAGAAAGACTGCCCTCTTGGTCTCCATTTGAAAAGGATGTTGTTTCACGGATAATATTAGCTTCATTTAACTCAAAAGTTCATTTTTCCTCTTACTTTTCTTATTACCTCTCTTTATGCACAATTCATTTTCCAAACATCATTCACTATATATATAATATATATATATATATATATATATATATAACCCTCCTTAACAATATCTTGGATATGCTCGTGATTGTCACTATGAGAATATTTACGATACTTCAATATGTCTCTTGAAGGCTATTGATGCTAACACCAATTGACAAATTTATCAAGTTGAGAAGTTTATTTTTAAAATTCTTCTATATGATTGTGTTGGTAATACTCTTTCATTTTCTAGACTCACGATAAGTGATTACTCCAAGGAGATGG